CAGTGGCTGTCTAGGCAGGCTGAGGATGATGATTATTATAGCCAGTGATGATTATTATACGATGTGGGCTCCAGAGAAATGATAAAAGCCTTCTTCCAAAGTAGGCTCTGGAACCATCAAACACATGAAATGAAGTAAGAATTTGTCTCCCTGTGACAGGATTAATACCACAAGTTTATAAACCAGTCTAAACACTTATTTAGAAGAATAAACCACCCCTGAATTGTGTCAGTTGCTGCCATAGCCTTTCATGGATTCACTGAAACTCCAAAGGGACTCTGAAATCCATGGAGGACCTCAAGACAACCAAAGAAAGGCTCTCATCACCAACACAGGGCTACTGGGAAAGGATTTAATATGGAAATGATGTGAAAAGCTCAGCTTCTCTTCTACATATAGGATTAAATTACACAGCCAGAAACAGCTGCTGGAGCTCAACAAGAAAATCCAACATTTGAAAAACAGTAGCTCAGAAGGGCAGGGAGTGGGGAAGTCAATATTTACAACACACTCATTTCTGCTTAACAGTTAAAGAAATCAGGAGGCAGAGTTGGGGGCGGGGGGAAGGACTAAAATAATTTACTTCACAAATTATCTCAGTTTTAGTTCTCTATCCCTCTTTCACCTGAAATAATGTGCAATTCTGTGTGCAACAGCACAGGTAAAACCAGTATTAATTAGGAATTACAGTAAACTCCTGAATACCAGAATCATATAATTTTATAATCCAGGCGCTCTGATCTTTCTCCCCCAACTAAAAAATTTATACTTTGAGAATTAGCAGGATAATTTCTTACCTTCCATTCTAGAAGGAAAGCAAGCTACAAGACTGTTACTCCCACCTTACAACCAGATTTCACACAATCAGACAAACTGTCACACTTGCTAGACTTAGAAAATGGATTTTAACACAATTAAAACAAGAATTCAGGTCTCTTTGCAAGGTATGCATTATAAGATTAATAGTTAATAGTCCTGTCAGCATTTATTTAAGCTAAGGCATTGGAGCAGGAATTTATAGTAATTTTAGCTGCCTATTGCTACAAACACACATTTCTCTAAATCAAGGGAAATAATTAAGGATGTGACTGCTTACCTCTAGCAAGTGTTACCTTACATGAATATCCAAACCCAGAATTAAGACACAGCCATAGTGTGTGTCAATACAACAATAAAAACCTGAAAAACCAGCAATTAATTACTTCCTCTCTATCAGCCTTTCAGCAGCTTTGCCATTATTATCCACACACATTTGGGATGCAAAGCATTTATTCACTGTTTGCTCAGAGAACAGAAAAAAATAATTCTTTTGTTTGCTCTCTGAAGACATCATAGCTTAAGTTAAACTTCTTATGCACAAGGTTTGCAGGTTCAGGAGACCTCATATAAGGAAACAGGCTTTTTTTCAGACAAAAAGAGATAAAAAGAGGGAGGAAATGTATTTTAATAGTGCCACACTTACTAACCCCTCACAAACAACTGGCTGAAACACCTGTATCACAATACAAAACCAAGTAACACTCTCTGGCAGAGTTAAAACATAAATGCAAAGCCTCTGAAGGTCTGAGCATTCTCCTTTTACTTAAAAACAGACTTACTTAAAAGTAAGTCTGTTTTTACTTAAAAATCAAAAAGCAAAGACAGTCTTACCCACTTACCTCTAAGAACACACTGCTATCCTCCTACAGCAGAGGAAGGCAAGGCGTCTTCAGAATTGCTGTGTAAAGGCTCCTTAAAGGAAGCAGGGTCATCTGGCCCCAGTGATGAGGCTGCTAATGAAGCCCAACTACATCCTCCAGGGCTCTGGGTAATGATTCCCTGGGGAACTGGGTTGCATTTCGTGTCACTACTCAAATCAGTGGAAGTGGGGTAAAAGCAGATGGAAGAAGTTACCGTCTTTGGAGCAGTTTTATTTTGCACCCATATTGCCATTAAAAATGTCCATGTAAGAGGGAAAACCAGCAAAGAAAGGCATTTTTGCAAGGTTTTCCTCAGATTTCTATGGCCTCAGTTGTCTTTGCTGATATGCCACAGCCCTATGGTTTTTAACACAATCAGTTTTACTTGCCTCCCAGAAGAGGAAGAGAAATTGCTTTGAGTTTTTTTATTGGGCAAAACTGTGCATCTTATTTTCCTGCACCTTCTACACAGAAGTGTTTGAAAGAAAACAGGAGCAAGAAGTAAGAGACCAAAAAGAAGTGTGCATTAGTCAAGAACAAAAAAAGTCCTATTCCTCTAGCCTCCTAACATCACTGGAATGCCAGGACACCTCTCAAGTAATAGCAAACATTATCAAATAGAAGAGGACATCAAGGAAGATGGGACTTTGAATGAATAACTGCAGAACTGAGAACAGGAGTTACCAGCTGTGCTGTGCACTGGGACAATCTCAGTCAGACAGATTCATGTATTGCCACAAAACTGAGGGCTGATCTCTGCTGTCACAAAGGTTTCTGAATAGGTTTCCAGGCAAAGAGAGAAGAGTTCAGGGTTCCTGGTACACAGTTCCCCACCATGGCTTATGTGCTGAATTAAATAAAATGCATTTTCACATCCCATTTAACTGAGTGTATCCAAACATGATAATCCTAGCCCTAACTAGTCAAAGGACTTTGAGAAACCACAACTATTGCATTTTTTGCCAAGTGCTAAGGTAAATGTTTGCTATTCAAAATAAGGATTTGCTTTCCCCCTGTCATGTTACGAGTCTTAAAATTGTGAATTGAGAAATACTCTGAGACCCATCTGTTGTTGCTGCAAGTGGAGTTCTTAAAATGTTTGTGTGTATCACTGATGGATTTATTCTGCAGCTTTGCCACCATCATAACCTTTTGTTCTGTAACTCATGGACCATTTTGGGCTCTCTGAAGCTTCCATGGTAAGGCAGCTGCCACATTTTCTGGTGAGTAAAGCAGAAAAACTAAGTTCTCTTTGCTGATGAAGGTGTTGAAGATTATCTTGCTGTGGTTTGCAATGGCTCAGTGACTCTTTAGCAGCTTTGAAACAATCCTCATCTGTAGAGAATTTCTGTTACAGTCCTGCAATGGATGAGCCTTAAAGAGGTGCTGCCATCCCTGTGAGCCACCTCTGCTGCTTTCCTATAGCCCTGCATGTTCCTCAGCTGCAAATTTCAGCATGGCATTCTGCCCCAAAGGGACACATACCATCAGTATGAATACTGAACTCCATTTAACCTTCCATTTCCCAGCTTGAGTTTCTATTTTAATTAACTCGCCATCTTTGTGCTTAAAAAAGCCACTATGTATATTTGTATGTATATTTTTATATATATTGGATATACTGGCTTTTTTTGACCTTTTTCACCAGGTATCCATCTATTATATTCTTTATAAATTCTTTTCATATATGTTTCAATGTTGCCCATGCCATGACTTTTTCCCATGGGCTCTCTGCTTTCACAAACATTCACTCTGGAGCTTTCCCAGCAGATGAGGCCTATTCTACTTTAACACCTGCTTCAGTCACATCTCAGTTAAAGGCTGACTTATATTTTCCCTGTATAAAACAGTGCCCTTATTTTAACTCTATCCTTCAAAGAACAGCCTCTCTCAGACTATAAAGACCTCAATAATGTGATGATTAGTACATGTGGTACTAGTATGGTCTCAGTTTCATCCAGAAGAATAAATAGAGCTAGCTGTCCAGGAAAAGAAGAATTCCAGGGGGAAATAAAGACAACTGTTGTGACATTTTTCTTCGAAAACAGCATGTTCAGAAATAGAAGCTACACACATCTTGGGGAGTTTTCTAAATTTGTGACATGCTGCAAACATAAGGGGCTAGCAGGCAGAAAAGCCAAGTGAGCTGGGTGAATATCCAAACAGAGAAATCTGGCCAAAGGGAACAAGCAGAGCTGGAATTGTGGTAAAACATGTGTTTTGAAGTAAACACCATACTAGGCCAGTGGAAGGGGTACTGATCCCCATACAAGTAAAGAGAGAAATGCTTAAAAAATTTGTCTTTAGCTTTTTTTCAGTAGCTTTCCAGACTGCAAAATGCTGGGAAAGTATTCCCCTGGCAACCGGTGATCTAACTTTGCTACCACTGTCCTGTTCTTGAGGATTCCCAGCTGGAGTCACCTGCTCCCGTACACCCTGGCACAGAAATCCAGCAAGTGTGCGTTCCTGAGCTCCTTTAAGGAACCAGAGATCATCTCCAGAGAAATCTTAAGTCCCATTATTCCATTTATTATATAACCACATTAAACACTGCAGGTGTCTTCTGATCAGTCTTCATATGGTACCTACTTTTTTTGTGGGAAGAATCACAACACACTTGGCACGTGGAATGGCACAGGAGCTTGTGCAGCCACAAAACCCTCCTGTCTCCCACCAGTGCTGGGGGCAGCAGAAGGAAAACACCAGGAGCTCAACACGGCAGGGCCAAGGAAAACTGGAGCTCACCTCTGCAGGGATGGACAGGTCTGGTTTTCCCTGTCAGCAACCCAAGAGGAACCAGCTTTCAGCCTTTATATGGATTTTGGTCCCTTTCCCTCCTACCTTCACTGGTTCAAATTGGACTGGCCCAGCTGCTTCTCTGAGGAGTGTTTTCTATTAAGCAGCTCTCTGCAGGCTTTTGAGTCAATGGATATGACATAAAAAAACAAAGACAATTTAGAAAATGAACTCTAATACCTTAAAGAAACCTACACCATGGAAATAGCTGCAAATGAAATGAAAGTATCTGGGATTTTGGTAGCACTACCATTCTTGTCAATGGAAAAATACAGTCTTTTCAGCTTATTACTACTGTGGTCAAACCCAGCAGCATCCAGAAAGCAAATGCTTCCAATGACAATCTAACAAAAAACCAACAAATGACCATACAAAAGACCTGCATGGTCTCTCTAAATCAGTCTCCAAGCCACAATGAAACAGGAAAACTGAATTGAGTTCAAGTTTCAGCATGTCTCTTCTGTCCCCACATCTGTCTGCCAACATAGAAAAAAAAAAAAAAAAGCCAACAAAAAGTCCATGATATATAATCTAATATTTTTTAATTTTATGTACAGGAATATAACGTTATGGCAACTTTGTACATGAAATACATACAGTATTTAAACATGAAAATCAGCTAGGTAAGAATTTACATTAGCAATGAAACTGCTTTATGTGCAGCCCAGTTAATACTTAGTTTAAATCTGTATTTTATTGGGGGGAGATTTTAATAGTTTACAATCATAGAAACATAAACATTTAAAACAAGACTCTATAAAATAATTTACAGAAACCCTACCATCTACACTGAGAGAAAGGGCATATGTCTGTGAGTTGTGTGTGTGAGTAACAAGGTGAACAAATGATGTATCTCAGCCTCTTAAAGTATAAAATAATTTAGAAGCAGTTCATGCAATATGGAAGCAAAGGCGTGCCAGTTCCTCCGAGGTTTTCTGCTACCTTGGACATCTACTGAGCATCACATGTGGATCACTGGACACATGATAACACCGCTGCCAGCTTCTACCAGACAGCACCAGCCTCAGTTCCTCCAGACAATGACTTATGTAAACATAAATATACAAGTTGATATCTTTTCTACACGTACAAATACAGGTCACAACTTCTCAGCTGTGCAAGTAGTCAATCCGTATACTCGGAAGCAGGATAATGCTCAGTCTGGAGTTCCCCGTGTTCCTCCGTCCAGGGGCACTAACAGAACTTCCTTGTTTTCACCAGTTTGCTCTGGTATTTCACCGAGTGCCCGCCGTGCCCTATCACGTAAACATCCAGCAGGTAGGACTTGCCAGGCTGCAGGCCTCTGATTGTCTCTGTGGTCACTGCTTTCTGGATGTTCTGGCTGTGGAAGTATTTACACAGAACCTTTTCCGACTTCTTCCTCGTGTCTGGACCCAAGCACTGGTTCTGCTCTCTTTTCTTCTGCTCTTCATTGTAATTGTCATCCACTTCCCTCTTGTAGATGCAGAATTTGTTCCTCTCCTGTGTGCCCAGCCACGCCACGGTGACCGAGGAACACGTGCGGAGCTTGTCAAAGGCTTTGATCCGCGTGTCTTCGGGAAGGGAAGGGAATGACTGCTTGTTAGGCCTGGTTGTAGCCAGGATCTTCAGCATGGAAGCGCCTTTCTTGCTGCCCTTCAGCCTAATAAGGTATTTAGCTTTTGCTTTCCCCCGGAGCTGGAACTGCCGCACGCCCTCCACACTTTGAGACAAGAGGAGCTTTCCATCCCTCCTAACTTGAATCTGAACAGCATCCAGGCAGGAATGAATGGAAAAGGTGACTTTTTGGTGAGATGAAACAGGGGCAAAACGTAGAAATTTGGCTCCCTTTCTTTTGATGAACACATCTGTAACTTTGCCGTCCTTCAGCTCAACTGTTTTCTGCTTCGCCTCCTCCTTGGTCCTGGCAAAGGTGCCGACATAGGCAGTGCTCATGTTGGTGTTGGTGTTCACTGCAAACATGTCAAAGTAGTACTGCGTGTCTGGCTTCAGGTCAGACACGGTGAAGATGTTCTTGTTCCCCACACAAACTCTATGCAGGTCAACTCTTGGCTTTGGGGATGTTTGCCGCCCAAACTTGGAGGATTTTAGGAAACCACGTTCTTTGCCAGAGTTGCTGTCTGCAGGGAAGCCAAAATGGGCAAAGTCAAAGGGGCTGAAATCCAGACCTGGCTTTGGAGCCATCATGAAGGCGTCGTCAGAGCTGAGCTTGGCTTCGACAGCACAGAGGCTTTTGAAGTTGTGCTCCTTGTTTATGACTATGCAGTACTGGATGGGCTGTCTCAGCAAAGAGGCCGTAGGGCTCGGTTTCCATGCCAGCGTCACCGTGGTACGTCCCAGAGAGGTGACATCGATTCTGGGATCGTAAGGTAACTCAGGATAAGGCTGGTCCGACTCTGGAGTCGTGGTTGCATACACTTTAAAATGGGTGTCTTTCTCTGTCGACAGCAGATCCAGCTGGTACAGCCCAGAGGGGGAACTAGAGGACACGAAGTACTCCACATCGTTGCCTTTGTAGGAGAAGAGCTCCGTGCCTTCCTCGTTGGTAATCTGCTGTTTCTGTTGCTCAAGGGGCTCTGGGTCTCCTGGAATACACGCAAAAGAAAGCATTTGTACAGACATTCTCTGCAAATGTGAAAAAACAGAACTCTGAAAGGCACGTTTTACTACATAAAATACAAAAGTAAGATGGAAAAGGGAGGTTTTGTCTCCTGAGTAAAATGTAATTGATCAATGCTTCTGTCAAATCAGAGAGGAAGATTGGTTTGGCACTCAGGTTAAACAAAAGAAATTCCACCTGACCAGCATTAGTGGAGTCTCATGAATGGTAGCTAACACCTTCCACTGGAGTGTCAGGCATCCCACTTGGAGTTGCCATGCACTTTTCCCTGGGGGAAACTCACTCACCTGCCTGTTCCTGGATGTGGACCCTTGGCTTTGGCCATCTGAGGCACACTACAATTTTGTTCCTAAACACAGTGGGGACCAGAGGTGTGTCTGCCATACCAGGTGGTGTGTGGGACAGTTCAGCACTTGTGTCGAGGCTCTGGCAGCCCTTTTCTCTCCTGAGCGGCAGCTACCCAACTCCGTGTCTGGAGATGAGCCCACACGAGGGGTGGGCTCAGTCCTGCTGCAATGCCAGCCCTGTCTCTCCAGTTTTATCTTGTGTAAACACCTCACAGCAAAGCCCCCTCAAACTGAATCACTCTGGGCAAACACAGTTTGCTCTGGCAGCATCCAGACCCCTGTAGCTGTAACCCCCGCTTTTACTTCTTTGTAGCCCTTTCCCATTTCATGTTGCTGCCTGTTCTCAGTCTCCTGCCCTGGAAGACCAAAACAGCAGGAGATCATAAAGACAGGCCTGCTGTGAGACCCAGGGTTTGAGGAACCTTAAATCCAGGAGAAAAGTAGGGAAAGGGACAAGGGAAGTTGCTGGTGGTTTGTTACCTGATCCTTCCCCACTGGCTTCCTCTGGGAGCTCCTGCACACTCAGTTTCCACTCCAGAGGGGCATCACACGGTGTCACTGTCACTGCTAAGGGAGTGTTGTCCTCTTCAACCACGAAGAAATACCTAGAGGGAGGTTAACAGACCCACATGTCAGGAACTCACTGATGGCAGCCAGCTGACAGGGATTGACTCGATCCTCAATCCAGGATGGTCTTGGAGGGGCCACAGAGCCAAAAGTGTTACCAGCAGGCAGAGGGAGTATGGAAAGGCTGGTGGGCCAGAGCTAAGGAGCAGGGCTCACATTTCTGTGTCAAGGCAGAGCAGAGGGGTTTCTGGCCTCCTGCCAGCAGCTTTACTTTCTACCCCTATACTACCCCTATACTACTACAAATAATCACAGAAATATAAATGAAGGAAACTGATCTCTCCTTGGACTTCGGGACATGCTCTTTCAAGCAGGACACACATTTTACATTGTATCCAGGAAAGCACATGGAGATACACACACCCAACTGCCTGGCCACATCCCTCCAGGCAGCACGCATCACCTATTGCGAAATGTTCCTTACCAATGAAGGCTGGAGGAGGTGTGTGATGTGAGGCAATGCAGCTCTTCCCTAAACTCTCCAGAGCCACAGGTTCTTCCCCAGTCTAACCCTCAGTATTTTCTGACCCACAGGGTGGAGTTTGGGAAGTAGGGATTTCAGACCAAGCTGCCTAATGCTGCTTCTTAAAGCACATTTAGGGAAAAATGAAGAGGGACAAGTGTGGGTGGGTCAAGCCTGTAGTTTGTAATTTCCTTCCTGCTCCCATTGCCTCCAGACATGGTTAGCAGCTCCACTTCAGGGAAATTCTGCAGTCTGGGGGAGCTCTGGGCTTATCCCAGAAATCAAATAAATTGGACAGAACCTCAGCTGGGGGGAGGCCACATTGCGCTGGAGGCTCACATATTTACTAGACCAAACAGAACACCGGCATTTATATTTTTCTGGTTGGGATCCAGTTTTTATCTCAAAGCACCCAGCAAACAGAGCTACTGTCTTCAAAGTTCAGCTTCCTCGCTGGGGCCAGAGAGAAATACCTTTTGGGGGTGTCTCGGAAGAGGTAGCTGCTGATTTCGGCTCCGTCGGGGATGACTGACGAGTCGTGGAAGAACGCCTTGTCCCGGATCTGCATCTGGAAGAGCTCCTCATCCCTGGTGGGCAGCTTCTGGGGCCTGGAGTCGAGCGGCAGCAGCAGCAGCAGGAGGAGCGGCAGCGGGCAGCGCAGCAGGAGCATCCTGCAGCAACGACAGGGAGTCCCACCTCAGCAGGGGCACCACGTGCAGCTCATCCGTGCTGGAACGTGGGCACACCTACAACAACCTCATGGCACTTTGTCTTTTGCAGGCACCTTCACTGCCACACCAACACCAGGGAAACTCTCTGTAAGGACCGAGCTCGCACTGTCACAGCACTTGGATAAAGGGTGTCACCCAGATTTCCCCATCCTGAACAGTGACCGAAGCAAGCCCAGGCACTGGTTTCAAATTGGAATCGCTACCAAACAGCAAAAGCCTTCCACACGCTTTGGTGAGTTACACTTTGATGTTTTGCCACAGCAAAAAACAGAGCTCTCTGACCTTGGGAGCTCCAGTGAGCACAGAGCAGATGGAGGGTACATGGGCTATGCTTCCCCTAGGAGACTTTGGTTGGGCTTCCAACAATCCTCTGGAAAGTAAATATTTCCAGTGAAACTGTTCTTGACAAAAATAGCGAATTAGGAAAACATGTGATACAAACCCACACATATTCAAAGCACATTGGTATTAACATGCAATTCAGCAGGGCTTAATCCTAAAGCCTGATGGGAATTGCAAAACACAAAAGCAGAGAATCCTTTACAAATTAGGCATAATAATTCATAATCTCAGCCTTTTATTATTATGTCTATATCTAGGTCAGAAATGACTACCCTAACATATACAGTGGGACAGGCTGGAAATCTCCTTTCAGTTCAGTAAATGATCTCATATATAATGGCTCTGGGATGGGGGCAGGGGGAAAGGGGAAACAGCCCATTTCTAGTTCAAGGATATCAAGTTTAAATTATTAAATGATAACCATTTTTTTCATTTGGAGAAGGGGGAAAAAATGTTTAGGCCATTACCTAAAGTGTGTTAGCACTGATTTTGGGAAGAAAGGTGGTAAAAAGCTGAGTTGGTAGAAGCAGTTTTATCTCATCCCTTGGCTGAGTGTGCAGTCATGCACTGCTCTGGGTACTGCACTGTGAAGCAACTACTATTTTGTAGCAAACTCTTCTTTTTACCTTTAAGATCAAATTTGTCACTGAGATAGTTCTTTTTCGCCCCACCCCTAATATTTTATGTAAAAGTAGCAAACACAAAGCTCCTTGAGAAGTGGCACACTGTACTCCAAGCCATACTAAAACTGCTTTTCCTAAATCCCTCTCCCTGCTGCCTCCAGCTCCCCTTCTGCCTGTTCTGCTCTCAGGACAGCTAAACACAGCCACCCACATGCTGCACAGCAGGGCTTCTGACACCAGCAAGGCTGTGGATGGCTATTTTCACCTTCATTTTGCTTCCTCTGCCTCTGATATTGAATCATTCCTTCCACCAACATGCAGGTCCCCCCCACTCATCCCTCCTCTCTGCTCTCCCCTGATATCAGCTCATTCCCTTCTCCCTCTCTACTGTTTTCTCCAACTCCTGCTGTGCAGCTCAGTTCCTTCATCTTTCTCTTTTCCCGTTGAAATTGGTGATGGGACAGGGAAAACACATGCCAAACTCAGCAGTATGAGCCAGGAGTGATGTGTACCCGCACAGGATGCAATTTTATGTCTCAAATGGTGTGCTCTGTTATCACTTGGGGTAGTTTAATGACAGGTTACTGCAGCGCTCTGCCCTGCAGAAGAGAAAGGAGTCCAGGGCTTTACCCAGCACATGCAATTGCTACCTACAGGTAAATCCTGATTTAGCTTTCCCAGCCTTTGTCAAAATTTATCCCAAACAGGTCCTGAGTTAGCTTTTGATGACAGCCGATATAGTTCCTCAAATTCAGACTGAAGTGTTGATACTTACCAGCGAAGTTAAAGACATTTGACCTTTAGGAGCAAAGATCATAAGTCAAAATACTTGCTGGCTTGAGTCACCCAAGCCAGCAGAAAGCTCCTCTCACACAAAGCACGATGAGTTTCGTGTGCTCTAACACGCTGTTTATTGATTTTTCAAGTATTATTGTTGGCCAACAGGGATGAAATTCCTTCCAACTTAATCACAACAGTTACAGCAGATTATTTGGTTAGGTAAGAAACTCTGAGGCTTTCTGCAGACAGCGTCCTCCACATGAACCCCCTGAAACTGCAATCCTGTGTATTCCCATAGTCAGTTCCAGTGCAATGTAACCTCTACTAAAATAAACCATTTTGATTATAGGCTAAGCTTCACTTCTTAAATAATTTCACTAGCTAATGCACTTTAAAAACTCCCATAAACAGTGTTTCTGCCCCCCTTAACAGCCACAGAGCAGTGACAAGGTACAGATTTGTCTCCAATGTCTTTATCTAATTGTAAAAGCATTTCGGCTTAAAAATAACTCCAAAAAGACACATTAAATTTAGTTCTATATCCCTGCCCGTCCCACACATGAAATACCTTGCAAAGTTGTCAGCTGTTACTGAAAAAGGAAACTTTCATAATCTCTGTTCTTTGACAAATTAATAGAGTTTTGAGTGCTTTCATTTTCACATATCTAACCTCAGAGGCTTAAAATGGGGCCAATTTTCATGCACAACACTTCGAAAAGTGGGACAACAGCAAAGAGGCATCCAAACCCTTGCTCACAGTTTTGGGAAGCTGTGCTGTCAGTGTTACACCACCCTTTCACACCAGTTAATAAACAGATTTTAGTGTTTGCAGCGCACTCATTATAATTTGGCAGGGTTTCAAACTAAACCCTCTGTAGTTTACTCATGCAAAACATCAAGAGCAAAGCAAAAAGTCCATTTATTCATCCCATGTTTGTTTCTGGGCAAGCTCACCAGTGACTTTGACAGAGTCCCTCAGAAAATGCAGTTGCTAGATGTGAGCTTGTGAATTCGTGCTCTGCCACCCAGCCCTCAGAAATTCCCCCCCTCAAAAAAATTCCTTGCCTTGGATTCGTTTTTAGAAGCCAGGTACAAGCTGAGGCCTAAGCACTGCACTAAGCCACACAAATTACATGAAATATATTTGTGTGATTTTTTTGTTCTCTAGGTTGTGCTGTCTCCTTAAATGTCTTGTATTCCGTTTTCCACAAGTTTGTCTTGTTTTCTTTTCTTTTAAATTCTGAGTCAATATTTTATTGATATATTCCTGCTGACTGGAGGGATTTTCCTGCTGTTTATCACTGAATTTAAGAGAGTGCCAAAATAAACAGTCCTAAGTGAAATAATAAGCACCGTTTTCCTTCTCCAGGATTGCAAAAGTGCCCTCTAATGGCCCGTCTTTACCTTTCACTTCTTCCCCAAACTCTGTCTCAACTGAGCCTTAAAGCCAGAGGGAAAAGTCCTGCTGGCTGACTGACCTGGGGAGTCAGACTGGGCATGGAGCATCTGCAGGGAGGGTCCCATCTCCTCCGAGGGCTGCTCCCAGGGAAAAAGGCCACTCGGTTTTGCCTGCCAGGCACCAGGACACAACCTGAGCAGGCCGAGGGATGCCAGGGCAGGTGGCCAGGGTTTCCTTGGATTTGCACCTGGAATGTGGCAGTGCCGTCCCCAGGTGAGCAGCTCCCAGGCTGCACAAACACTGCAGTAGCAAGAGCCACACCTCAGGAGATGTTTGCTTAATGAACCCAGCTGTATTTACCTAAAAAGATCAACAGATGAAAAATACGTGCTGTACATTGGAGAGGGAGATACATGATTTCAAACATTTCAAAATTTACCACCTTGCCAGAGGCTTGGGGCATTTTCCTTCTTTCACAAAGTAAAAAAAAATAATTTTATAAATGGCACTTTATAAGCTTGAGTTATAAGCACATACATGAAAATAATCATTAAGTCAGATTGTGGGTTTTATGACAATTATAATTAATTCCTAGCTTTTTAATAATCTCCTTACCCAAGCTTTCCAAAACCCCACCTACAAAAGCCCTACACAGGGGCTCCTCTCTCCTGCCTTTGAGACCTCTAGGTAACAAACTCCACCTGCAAACCTCCAGATAAACTGCAATTACGACCAGAAATGGAGAGGTTAATGGGATTTACAGCTGGCTCAGGTTCTGAGTTGAGGGACAAATCAGCTGGAGCTGTGGCAGCACCTCATGGGGTTTTCCCACAGGCTGAGCAGGGTGGGCACATCCTCAGCCCAAGCCATAAGCAGGTGGCCTTGGGGACAAATGAAGTCACCCCATTTTTTATTTCCCCACTCAGGCCTAAGGTATTTTCTAGCTGACCTTTTTTTCCAGCACTGAAACGCGGCTATGCAGGGTATACTCTGTAAGGGATCAGACACTCCCTGCCTCCATCCCACCACAGAAACCCCACCCAGCAAGCCAAGAATCCATTTTGTTCAGCTCTTGGGGATCCGAGCAGTTGTGTCCTCCCGTTTGGGCTTCACTGTGCATTTATTTCACAGAGACACTCACAGGAAGGCTCAATCTCACCAAACACACCTATGCTGCGGAAAAAGGGAGCAAAGTACTGGATTCACCACAGGCAACTGGTACCTGTTCACAGTCATCTTCCTTGATCTGTGGAAATAATTTGCTTTACTCCTCAGCTGTGTGCAGGTCACCCAGACCTGTGAAGGACTGCCAATACCAAAACAAAAACCATCAGGGTTTACCTGGAGCAAATGCATCTGGAATAACCAAACCCTCACATAAATTACAGAGAGTGGGAAGAGCCCCACTGTAATTTAGTGAGGATAATTTCAAGGCACTGCTTGACACAGTGCTCTTGTGTTGAATTTCTTCTCTTTTTATTGTATGGATGGTTAACTTTTTTTCCTCCTTACATCCTATTTTTAAACTCTGGTCTGCTGGGGGTGGGGCTTTTTTCTGTTTACATTACCCGTGCTGCATCTCATAATAAGTCTGCAGATTTATTGACGTGATTTAAGTCCAGCTTTGGAAATAAAAGGGCACTGTGTGACTTCTTTGACTTATTATAGGAATGCTGCAAGTAAAGAGGCTGTGAGATTTGCCATTATACACTCCATTTCCAGAGATATATGCCACAAATACATGCACCTCAGCACACACAGTTATCACCTGAGCGACAGAGGACTTTAAAAGCACT